CCTCTCGATACAATTTTTTTATTGTAAGCAGCTTCTGTCCAAGTTTGGTAAAAATCCAGGATAGTTTATGAATCTAATTAATATTTTTAAAAATTTAACTGCAGACTGTATGTTATGTTAACTGGAAGAAAAACTAAGTCCATTATAAGTAAAATATGGATAAACAAGTACAAAATATTAATAAAAATTTCCTTCTAGATACTAGCTTTTGATCATAAACAAGCATCTGGCCATGTTTGGTACAAATCCAGGATAGTTTAAGAAAGTTATTAAAATTTTAAAAACTTTAACCACAGAGTGAATGTAATGTTTCCTGGCAGAAAAACTAAGCCCATTTACAAGTAAAATACGGAAAAACAGGACTTTTTTTTTTAAATTTACTTCTGGATACTATCTTATGATCATAAACAAGCATCTGGCCAAGTTTGGTACAAATCCAGGATATTTTGAGAAAGTTATTAAAATTTTAAAAACTTTATAACCACAGAGTGAATGTAATGTTTCCTGGCAGAAAAACTAAGTCCATTTATAAGTAAAATACGGAAAAACAGGATTTTTTTTTTTACAAAATTAACTTCTCGATACTATCTTATGATCATAAACAAGCATCTGGCCAAGTGTGGTACAAATCCAGGATAGTTTGAGAAAGTTATTAAAATTTTAAAAACTTTAACCACAGAGTGAATGTAATGTTTCCTGGCAGAAAAACTAAGTCCATTTATAAGTAAAATACGGAAAAACAGGAATTTTTTTTTTACAAAATTAACTTATGGATACTATCTTATGATCATAAACAAGCTTCTGTCCAAGTTTGGTAGAAATCCAGTATAGTTTAAGAAAGTTATTAAAATTTCAAAAACTTTAACCACAGAGTGAATATTTGTGGATGCCGACGATGACGACGATGATGCCGCCGACGGAATGTAGGATCGCTATGTCTCGCTTTTTTGACAAAAGTCGAAGGCTCGACAAAAAAGACCAAAACTCAAAATCTTAACTTTGACCACTGAACCATGAAAATGAGGTCAAGGTCAAATGACACCTGCCAGCTAGACATGTACACCTTACAATCATTCCATACACCAAATATAGTAGACCTATTGCATACAGTATAAGAAAAATAGACCAAAACACAAAAACTTAACTATAACCACTGAACCATGAAAATGAGGTCAAGGTCAGATGACACCTGCCAGCTGGACATGTACACCTTACAGTCCTTCCATACACCGAATATACTTGACCTATTGCTTATAGTATCTGAGATATGGACTTGACCACCAAAACTTAACCTTGTTCATTGATCCATGAAATGAGGTCGAGGTCAAGTGAAAACTGTCTGACGGGCATGAGGACCTTGCAAGGTACGCACATACCAAATATAGTTATCCTACTTCACATAATAAGAGAGAATTTAACATTACAAAAAATGTTAACTTTTTTTTCAAGTAGTCACTGAACCATGAAAATGAGGTCAAGGATATTGGACATGTGACTGACGGAAACTTCATAACATGAGGCATCCATATACAAAGTATGAAGCATCCAGGTCTTCCACCTTCTAAAATATAAAGCTTTTAAGAAGTTAGCTAACGCCGCTGCCCCCGGATCACTATCCCTATTTCAAGCTTTCTGCGACAAAAGTCGCAGGCTCAACAAAAACCATGAAAATTAGATCAAGGTCAGATTTATCCTGTAAGACAGACATGTACATGTTACAATCATTCTATCCATTGAATATATTGATGAATTACTAAGAATGTTGGAGAAACTAATACCTAATCCATACAAGAGTGCACACACTGAAATGTCTCGCCTTCTTTACTAATCATTGATTTTATGTTGATAGTCCTAAATATAAAGCTTTACTACAAGTAACACATAAACTAAACATGATCCAAGAAAATGAGGTCAAGGTCAGATAAACCAAACGAGAAATACATGTACACCTTACAATCATTCAATAAACCAAACATAGTTGACCTATTGCTTATAGTTTCTAAGAAACAGTCTTAACCAAGAAAACTAAATATTGACCAACGAACCATGAAAATGAGGTCAAGGTCAGATGATACCTGCCAGACAGACATATACACCTTACAATCCTTCCATACAACAAATATAGTTGATCTATTGCTTATAGTTGAAGAAAAACAGACCAAAACACAAAAACTAAACACTGAGAAATGAACCATGGAAATGAGGTCAAGGTCAAATAAAACCTGCGAGACTGACATGTACATCATAAAATATTTCCATACACCAAATATAGTTGACCTATTGCATATAGTATTAGAAAAAAAAGACCAAAACTCAAAAACTTAACTTTGACCACTGAACCATGAAAATGAGGTCAAGGTCAGATGACACCTACCAGTTGGACATGTACACCTTACAATCATTCCATATACCAAATATAGTAGCCCTACTGCTTATAGTATCTGATATATGGACTTGACCACGAAAACTTAACCTTGTTCACTGATCCATGAAATGAGGTCAAGGACAAATGAAAATTGTCTGACGGGCATGAGGACCTTGCAAGGTACGCACATACTAAATATAGTTGACCTATTGCATATAGTATTAGAAAAAAAAGACCAAAACTCAAAAACTTAACTTTGACCACTGAACCATGAAAATGAGGTCAAGGTCAGATGACACCTACCAGTTGGACATGTACACCTTTCAATCATTCCATATATACCAAATATAGTAGACCTACTGCTTATAGTATCTGATATATGGACTTGACCACGAAAACTTAACCTGGTTCACTGATCCATGAAATGAGGTCGAGGTCAAATGAAAATTGTCTGATGGGCATGAGGACCTTGCAAGGTACGCACATACTAAATATAGTTATCCTATTTCTCATAATAAGAAAGAAACTAACATTACAAAAAATGTTGACTTTTTTTTTCAAGTAGTCACTGAACCATGAAAATGAGGTCAAGGACAATGGACATATGACAGACGGAAACTTCGTAACATAAGGCATCTATATACAAAGTATGAAGCATCCAGGTCTTCTAGCTTCTAAAATATAAAGCTTTTAAGAAGTTAGCTAACGCCGCCGCCGCCGCCGCCGCAGCCGGATCACTATCCCTATGTTGAGCTTTCTGCGCCAAAAGTCGCAGGCTCGACAAAAACTGAACATTAATGACTGAACCTAGGCGTGGGGCCACTGTCAGGTGATCCCAGTCGAAAGGACATGCATACCTTGCAATGATTTATATGCCAAATGGCAGTAGCCGTCCTTTTTACACACAAAAACAGTCATATTCATGTAAAAAACAAGAGTGCACATGCTGAAATGTCTCGCCTTCTTTATTAATCATTGATATTATGTTGATAGTCCTAAATATAAAGCTTTATTACAACTGTCACATAAACTTAACATCAACCAAAAAACTAAACATTGACCAATGAACCATGAAAATGGACTTGACCACCAAAACTTAACCGGTTTTGTTCACTGATCCATGAAATGAGGTTGAGGTCAAGTGAAAACTGTCTGACGGGGATGAGGACCTTGTAAGGTACACACATACCAAATATAGTTATCCTATTACTTATAATAAGAGAGAATTAAACGTAACAAAAAATCTATATACAAAGTATGAAGCATCCAGGTCTTCTAGCTTCTAAAATATAAAGCTTTTAAAAAGTTAGCTAACGCCGCCGCCGCCGGATCACTATCCCTATGTCGAGCTTTCTGCGACAAAAGTCGCAGGCTGGACAAAAAACTATCCACTTTTTTTGGGCGGTAATTGAACCCGAAAAATGAGATCAAGACAGTGATCGTATACCAGATGAAAACCTGAGACCATATGGCATCTGCATACCAAATTCCATTATTCAGTGTCTGGATAATGAAGTTTTATACATCCGCCTCCAACAACAGATCAGTATACATAAGTTTTGTTTTGTATATGACATGCAAGACAATAAATAAGATCATTTAAACATTCTTGTCCTATTTAAAGCATTGGCAGCTAATCTGCTAATGATCAAATCCAATGAAAAATTCTGTAAGGTGATGCCTAATTTTAGGCCCATTGTCACTATCGAAGTTTTCTTGAACAAGTTTTCTCGGTCAAAGTATTTGATGGACTTTTTTTGATGGTAACAACCATCAAAGAAAACTTTGATCTAAAGCTTTGACGGACTTGGATGGAATGAAATCTCATCCTAGTTTTTCTTTACACTTGGATGAACTTGAGACGGGAATAATCAAATCAAATCACAGTAGTTTTTTTTTTTTTTTATCAAGTTTTTGATTAAAAACTTTGATAGTGACAACAGATGACTTAGACCAAGTTTACCTGACCAAGGTTTTGAAAAACTAGATGTGTCAGAACAACACAAATGGCCCCGCTCGCAAAAATAGCTTGGAGCACTTCTTGGGAGTGAAAATTTGAAAATAAAAGGCTATATAACAGTTATTTTAGACCAAAGCCTGTAATTTCGGCACAAATCAGCTGAGCAGAACCAAACATATACTAAATCTGTAACTCATCATAGTAGATTCACATACTTAAAATCAGCTCAATATATGAAGGAGTTTAGAAAAAAAATCTGCATAACTGCATGTTTGTTGAGGAATGACAGAATGACGAAATGATGGAATGACGGAATGAAGGATAAGGGTAAAACTATATGTCCCCGACCACTTTGTGGCAGGGCCATAAAAACTTTGATACTGATGACAGATGACTTGGACCAAGGAAAGCTTTGACCAAGTTAACTTTGGTTGTGAAAACCGGGCTTAAATCATCATTTGTTGCAAGTTTTGTTCAAACCAGCAAAGAACATTTCTAAAAATTTAATTATTGATATGATAAGACACCAAGTAATGGGAATATAAATCATCTGCCTCATACCCTATACTACAGAAACCTCTTCCCCCTTCGTTAGCAATTCAGACTCACATAAAATATAAGATGGGTTTTCTCAAATAAATTTTATTTATCAATTAGTTATACTATTATCATGCATCATGATACACAATACCCAAAAGAAACAAGACACAATCTGCTTCATCAAGTGTGTATAAATATCAAAGAAATAGATATACTGTAAGTTCAGAAATTATTGTGTGCATTTTTTATTGCGATTTTTGAAGAATGGACAAAAATGTTAGATTAATCATTGCAATTTCAGTAAAATCTGCCTACATATATACATATCAGATATCAGAATGCGAGTTCTTATTATTGCGATCATCATCAAGTCGCATTATTTGAATTAATAAAAACCTCGCAATAATTTCTTAATTTACAGTAACTAGTAATAATTAAGCTTTTGGCAACGGTTGTACATCAACTTCACAACTAAAAGGATGAAAATTAACTGCATCATGGGTAAGGTATCATCAGGAAGACATAACAATTATACAAAATATCGAACATTACTGAGGATTCTTTCTAATTTCATGGATACCAGTTCTCAGACTGGAAAAGGATTGGTTTTAAGATACATGTACCAAATTTTGATATCATTAGTTCCAATCAAAGTAACGTTTCTTTGTTTAATTATCAACTTGAGGCTTTCCACTGCTTACTAAACTTATAAAAAAAGGATAGAACTCCATAAAAAAAAAAGAATCATCAGTTTGTCTCAACTTTTAAAAAGGACATTCAAAAACATTACAATTCTTATACAAAATGAAAACTATGGTAAAAACTACAATAAAAAAGGTTTTAAAATACACGAATCAAATTCATTTATGAGGTGTACTCAACATATTCACTTGGTAATTAAAATAAACTAAATATCTTAACCTGTGCAAAAATTATTACATCACCAAAGAAATAGTTAACTGCATTTAATTCCTCATTATTAACCCCAAGCAGGTTTATTATATAAAGTTTCTTTTCTATGCAAATTATTTTTTTTATATATAAGTAGTATATATATTTTTTCCAAGGACAAGTACTTTTTTCCTTGGAAGGGAGATAACTAGTACAGTTATAATTTCATTATTTATCCATTAGAATATGTATCAGTGTATCATCTGTTTACTCATCCATCTTCAAATTTAATCCACAATTAAAGGATTATATGGACCTTTCCTAAACTTTCAAATAATCTTCAGTGTGTGTGTTGACATTGTGTATCATTATAAATTTCTTAAGGTTCTCTTATTGAAGAATGGATTTAAACATTTCTTACATCTTATTACTCATATTGAAGGATAGGATGGTTCAGCTGATATGATCATATATTTTGTAAGAGCAGATTCTGAACTTGCATCCATAAATCTTGCAATTTGGTCAATCTTCAACGGCTACATCAAGTTTAATTCATTCATTTTCTATTCAATCCTTTAAGAAAGAGCTAAAAGCATAAAAATGTCGGATCTCATTACGTAAATAAATATTTTGTACTGCATGTATATGCAAAATCTATCAATTTCCCCCACAAACTCATATTAAGGCTTGATATAACAAGACTTGACAATAAAAACAAATAAAATCACATAAAAACCACTAAAATCATATAAAACCAGATAAAACACAAATCTTGTTATAGCAAAGCTTTGAAAAGTATACAAAAAAGCTACAGGGGTGATATATTAGTATTTTAAAGCAGAATTTATTTTGAATTTGTGTTAATGTTATGAAAATTTTGTCATAATGAGATCCAACTATTAAAAACAAGATTAAAAACACTATAAAAATTATTCAAACCAACCTATCCTTCACATGATCAAATTGTTGTAAGAGATGCTTCCTTTCCAAGTTAATCAAAATATTTAGAAGGTCCATTCATTTCTATTGGGAACCCCAACATTTTATTATAATAAAAATGAAATACACACTGCCATCAGTTACAGTAGATAATCTGAAAGTTTTAATGAACACATTCCAAATTTTGGTTGATTATAAAGGGAATCACAGAAGCATAACTGTAGCGGGCCCCCTTCTTATGGCAGTCAGTGGGCCCCCCCTAATAAAAAGTTCTGGATCCGCCACTGTGTTGTCTGTTTGTTACATTATGAACTAGTACATTAAAAAATACAGCTCAGCATGCTGGTCTAGTACAAAGCAGGGTCTATATCCATATCACATTTTCATGTTCTCATCCTGAATATGCATTTAATTTGTAACTGGACATTAAACAGTTATCTTTCCATCCAATTAATCTTGGGTAGGGTAAAAAAGTGGATCTTTAAAAGTTGAGTACAATCTTCAAAAAGCAAACCTTAAAATATGTCCTTAAAATATAAATAATAATGAATGAGAAAAAACATAAAAATCAATCACATAAAAATGAAATAATAAAACAAAGCTGCAAAAAATTGTGTAATTATTTTCATTTGAGTGGCCTCAGATGCTGAATAATGCATTTATAATATATAAACAAAACCAATAAATAAAACTGACAGCCATTTAGTTGGATAGATGTACTGAAAGTGGAGTCAAACCCAACAACCTAACCAAACATTTTTATTCCAGTTCCAGTTGAATAAAAAAACAGGGGATCTTTTTATATATATTCCCTTTAGTGTTTGGCCATCAAAGTCCTACATTTATTGGTTTCTAACCTGCAAAATTCATTTCACAAAGCACTTGTAAGACTTACACGTACATAACTTAAAACATATATGTAAACTGATGAGTCTTATGGGTATTTTGTGAAATCATATGGCATACTGTTAAGACCCCTCAAATAAAAATAATTTCACAGTTTTATTTTTCATCAATCACAATACAATAAATGAATGCAAGTAAAAACAGTGAAAAAAATACTTATAATTTGGATAACTCAATACAGCAATAAAAAATCAAAATTTGTTAATTCATTTTTCTGCTTACAGGACTACTGTCTATGGATTCTATCAAAATTGAAAGCAACAGTTCATCCAATGGTTTGCAGGATTATTGTCTGAGGATTTAACCATACAAGGCAGCAACAGTAACACTTTCAACTGAAAAAGAAATAAAGTTAGATTTCAATTGTTAATTCTTAATATTAAAATAATATTAAAAGTGTATAATAAAAATTTGAGTGGCAATTTTCAATTAAATAAACAGATAAGTAAATTTATTGATTACTCCAAAATATATGATACTGTCGATTCAATTATTTTCGTGGGTACCAATATTGGTCGATTGAAGGAAGATTATATTGCAATTTGATTTCATGGTTTTGTACAAGTCTGCATACCAACTTATATAAAATCTGTACTTTCGTTGAATATTTAAAATCATGGTTAAAATTTAACCAAATCCACAAAAATTGGTATCCAATGAATAATAATAATGAATCCACAGTACTGATAATGTACAGCTAGAATAAAAATTAAAAATCTTAATTTAAATTTTCTGGACTCTACTATGACCAATTCAAAATACCTGAACAATCATTTGAAATATAGAACAAATGTGAAGCTGCAAACAAAATGAACTACCTTATTACATTGGTAGCAATGAATTACATTGATTTCCCAGTCAAATAAAAACCGATAATTTCACATGTGAAATAAACGTAGTTATTTCACTCTCTGACGTCATACAACAATATGCGTTGTCAAGATGTCGATAACGTCGGACCAAGACAAATTGTGAATGCGTAGAAAAAAGATATAGTTCCTTACATTTTCTACATTAATTTCATTAAAAAAAGCCCTGTGCCAATGTAATAAAAAGAATAACTAATCAAAGAATTCAAATATCGAAAAATATTCAACTCGTGACCGAACAACACTGATAATTAACTCATGCGCTATGCGCATTCGTGAATTAATGTGTTGTTCGGTCACTCGTTGAATATTTTTCTCTATTTGAATTCTTTGATTAGTTATTCTATAATCTTCATACATCTATAATTTTGTTTGATTGTTGTTTAATTGACTCTTGCTCTAATATTTTTTTTCGCAATAAATATTGGAATAAGGAAAAAATTCAAGACTGAATAAAAGGAAGTTATCATACATCTTTTTTATGACAGCACTGGTTTTATCCTAACATTAAAATGTAAGATTATCTCCCCTTCATTTCTCTTATTCAGGACCTGATTATAGGAAATGACAAGCAAGACAATATCATTGAATACAGATTCACTTCTAAAGTAAGGTAAAACATTTTATATGGAATCTATTCATTTTTGCGCCTGTCCCAATTCAGGAGCCTCTGGCCTTTGTTAGTCTTGTATCATTTTTAATTTTAGTTTCCTGTGTATAATTTGGAGTTTAGTATGACATCCATTATCACTGAACTAGTATACGTATTTGTTTAGGGGCAAGCTGAAGGACGCCTCCGGGTGCGGGAGTTTCTCGCTGCATTGAAGACCCATTGGTGGCCTTCGGCTGTTGTCTGCTCTATGGTCGGGTTGTTGTCTCTTTGACTCATTCCCCATTTCCATTCTCAATTTTATATAAATATTAAGGGGCAAAACATAACATAAACAAATTTAAGTTGCATATGTTGATGAATTAATTCTCACCTTAAAACATCTCTAATTACTATCCCAGCAAGTAACCCTACAGAAACTTGTGATGCTAACCTGGAAAAAAACAAAGTTAGTCAGTTATTCTAAATTTTTCCAAAAAAATCTCTATATCATCGTAATAAATTTAAAATAGAATTTGGATAACAAAAAAATGTCCTAAAAATAATATTTGGGATTCTAAATCATAAACTCTGATTTAAAATTTGCAATAAAAAAATCAACTTGTATTTCATCATACATGTATTGTATAATTAATTTTTTGGTACTTTTGAACTTTTATAATGTCAAATATTTTAAGAAATTTTTTGATGTCAAATACTACAAAATTAATCCAAAATAAAATAAGTGAACACGAATTCAAGCCAACTTATAATACATGAAATACTTTTCAAGAGCATTTGATGTCACTGCTCATGCGGACAGGAAAAAATATGCAATTTTCAAGTTATAAATAGGCTTAACTTTAGAACGGTGACTCACTGCCCAAATTCGAAATCATTCAGCGAGTTTTGGTTCTTAGCATTGTGTACGAGTTTCATTAAATCAAGATGAGACAAAATTAAGAGTGCAGAAATGAAAATGGGACGGACAGTCAAGGGTAACACTTAATGATCCCTTCGCCTATCAGCCGGGGCATAATAAAAAGCTTCAATACCTACCAACATGTTAACAGTATCCGATATCCAAATCTTACTCCCAACACCATGAAAATATTGTCATTGCAACAACCTAAAATAAAAATAAGTAAGAAATTATACTTGTTTTGCTGTGTTTTTTACAAAATTGTTGTCTACTGTGGATTCATTATTTGTGGGATACAATTTTTCGTTCTTTTCGGCTGTTAAGGTGAACCAAGAATTCAAATGTTCAACAAAGTACAAAATTTCTACAGGCTTGTATGCAGAATCAGACAAAATCATGAAATCAAATATCCATGAAAATACAATTTTTCTGCAATCCACGAAAATTGGTATCCATGAAAACAAATAAATCCCCAGCATTATCATCTTCAATATGTAAACTTGATACCAAAGGTAGAAAACAAATAAATACAAGTACCTTAAGGTAGATGGGGTATCTAAATTATAATCCATAGAATTTTTTAATAATTTGCCAAAATGTAGTTTATATCATGCTTTTTAAAAAAAAATAATAAAAAGAATGGGTTACGGGCCTTATTTTCACGCTACAGGTTGTGCAAAATTGACAGATTTTGTATAGATTATGCATGGAAAACCCAATTTTCTGCCATAAAACGAAAACTATACCATAGAATTTTGAGATAAAATATGAGAAGATAGCTCTAATAGTATGCTTTCAGATAAGAAAAAGAAAAAATGGGGTCACGGGACCCGTTTTCTTGCTACATAATAAAATAGGTAAATTCCTAACACATTCTATTGTAAAAGTAACTTTATCTGAATTATCTGCCCTTACATTTGAGTTGCCTCCCCTTATGTGGCAAAGTTGGAAAAAATAGAATCAAACAAAAGTATTCTGTTTTTCTGTAAAATACAACCATAAATATTATAAAATATGTCATTTTCTCAATTAAAATGAAAATTCTTACACATGAATTACCTAATACTCTCAAAATTTGCACCTTTTATTAAAGATCTAGACCGATTTTCTTGTATTTCAAAATCCAAGATGGAGGAAGACACCCTATCTACCTTAATACAAATGATCATGATTATGTTTCAAAACAAAAATATGTTAGGTAATGTAGATATTCTCAAAATCAAAACACGGATCGAAAAAACAATATTCTCAGAATCAAACACAGATAGAAAAAACACTTAAAGAAAATATTTGAAATGTTTATAATCATATTATTACCATAAATTTTGTGAAATATTTGAACTTACCACATATTTTTCTTGGTAAAGCCTCAGACTTGGTTAAGATTTAATTGACCATCTTCCTTTGAGTTGTTCTCCTGGCTGCCAAGGTGGCCGTCCTCATCTTATTGACAATTTATTTTTTTGTCCATTTGTTTTTCTAAATACAGTTATACATTAAAAAAATATCAGATGCACTTTTCAATAATAGCTTTTTTACCAAATCCCCTTAGTGACCCATGATTTCTCCCACCCTACAGATCTATTATCAAGACTTCTGTTTACATTTTTTATTTACAGAGCTCCAAATAATAGTTAATTTAAGTTAGTATACATCTGATATTTATACAAAATATAGCATAATTAAAATTAAAAAATAATTTGATAACAAAATTCAATACATTTCAATACCATAAATAGTACTCAAGATTTCATGAAAATGAGAAAATTTTCTTCTGACCATGGTGGCCAATCGCGCTTAAAGTGGTGTTAAACACCAATACTCAATCAATCTATTTTCACCAAGATATTCTTCAAATATGCATCTTGTAAAATATTCTTACAAATTTTTATTCCTCGTTACAAACTCAACATAAAAGACATAAAAGTTGGAAAAGAGATATGTTTCCCCAAAAAAATAATTTCAGTAAAACAACATTTGTTTATCTCTTATTTTTCCTAATTTTCTTTCTTTCTTTTTTTTTTTTTTTTTAAGATTCTCCATTCTTAACCTACTGGAAGTGTACTGACTAGACACATACCACTACTAATATATATAAAGTGGATCTTCAAATTAAATTGTAAACTTAAATTTTTAACCCTGGTATCTATGATGAAAGTATAGACATGCAATCGATTAACAATTTCACTCAAATTGACTCATTTTTAGATCTTATTTAGCTGTACACTTTTGCTTTAACATTTTCTCTCTATCTTCTTCAAACAAAATCAAAAAAGAAAAAATAGTTCTTCAAGGGCAATGATTCCTATTAGGGGTTAATTGACGATTCATCCATATTTATTGACTTATTCGTAGGTCATATTTAGTTGAACATCTTTACTATTGAAATGTTCTCTCCATTGACTATTTCCTAAATAAAAATGCAAAAAGGGTAAAAATCATCATTTAAAATCAACAACTCCTACAAAGGGTCGTTTGACAATTTCTGCCAAGTTGACTTTTTGTAGATCTTATTGTTTAGTTCATTTTTACTGTTTAAAACTCCACTGTGAAAGTATTCAAGATAACTAAAACCTCAAATTTTCGAATGATTTACATTTCTGGACAATTACTCCAATTTGGGTAGACCAATTTTCTGAAAATTTTGTTAAATATAAGCCTCAGCCTGCTGATCATTTTCACATTCTTCCAAAAAAAAAGATTAGTTAGAACACTAATTCTGTTGAACGATATCTGGCGTTATGATTAACAGGTACCCAATTTTCTATAAGTGCATATGAACGCTTATAGAAGCTGAATTTTGTCAACCCTAGAAAACCAGATTATCTCTTTGGGGATTCAGAAACCCAGGCAGATTTTTCTGATTGTGTTGGCGGCCAAACGGAAAAATCTCTCTGGTCCCAAAATCCCTGAAGGGATTATCTGATTCTCTAGGATTGACACAATTCAGTTTCTATAAATATTCATATGCACTCAACCAAAACAAAGTTCAGAAACCAAAATTTCACAGTGCTGATTTTCTGCTTGTAAACTAGATATGCCAATACTTCCATAATGTCCTGATTTTCAAATATATTAACAGGAGGCATCAGATTTAATGTCCCCATTCTGATCGGACTTGGCTGCATACTTGTACATCCTGCACAGGCCAGCCTGAGAATAGGGTTTTACTGCTGGTCAGATGACCAGGTGACCATATTTTTATTCCCCAGTCACCCTTGGGGTACAATTGAGCAATTTAAAGTAGATGTATGCTGGTCTTTAATTTAAGTAAATGACCCTTTGTTATCAGTGTGTACTACTAGAAAGTAACCATAACAATATTTATAACAGTATTTGGTCAAAGAAGCTCTGCAAGACAATAATGGACATGAGTAGAGCTATGAGTATTGCAATGGTACTTAGATGGAAAAAAGATTGGCAAGGGTTGTCCTGCTGGTCAGATGACCAGGTGAGCACATTTCTATTCCCCAGTCACCCTTGGGGTACAATTGAGCAATTTAAAGTACATGCATGCTGGTCTTTAATTAAAGTAAATGACCCTTTGTTATCAGTATGTACTACTAGAATGTGACCATAAAAATATTTATAAAAGTATTTGGTCAAAGAAGCTCTGCAAGACAAAAGAAATGTCAAGACAATAATGGACACCAGTAGAGCTATTAGAGTATTGCCATGGGGCTTAGATGGAAAAAAGATTAAAAACAAGAATGTGTCCATAGTACACGGATGCCCCACTCGCACTATCATTTTCTATGTTCAGTGGACCGTGAAATTAGGGTCAAAACTCTAATTTTAGCATTAAAATGAGAAAGATCATATCATAGGGAACATGTGTACTAAGTTTCAAGTTGATTGGACTTCAACTTCATCAAAAACTACCTTGCCCAAAAACTTTAACCTGAAGCGGGACAGGCGGATGGACAGACGAACGAAAGAATGGATGTACAGACCGAAAAACATAATGCCCATAAATGGGGCATAAAAAATAAAATTTCAGCTACAAGTTAACTTATTACTTCCAATCTTGTTGAAAATGGAGAATCTTTACACCTTTTTTTTTGGCAAAAGTTAATAAAAATTTCTCAAACATACACAAAAATCGTCTGAATAACATTCTTTAATGTTACAGTCATATCACACAATCATTTAATGCTGCCACAGTAAAATTTACCTGAAAAAGAAATGTACATTCTTAAACATAGATGTCAAAAGTATACAAGAATAAAAACAATATTTAATACAAAAGAATTATCAAAGTGATTTGTTGAAGTATATTTTTAAAATCCCAGATTTTATTGGCAAATAAAGATGAAAATACAAGTTATTGGATGCTGTCGGTCATATTTGTTTTGGATTCAATGTTTCATCCTATCAAGCAAAAGGTTTTCTCGTTTGAATTGTTTCACATTTTGTCCTGTTGGGGCCTTTTATAGCTTACTATACAGTACAGGTTTTGTTCATTGTTGGAAGGATGTACAGTGACCTATCCACATTGTTTGGTCTCTGGTTGATAGTTGACTCATTGGCAATCATACCACATCTCCTTATTTTTATTTTTTAGGGACATCTATAAATAAAAAAAATATAGAGAAAATAAGATTTCAGAAATTATAATTTTTTACTTTCCTTATTTATCTTGCTACCACCTTCCAGATTATATATACAATTATAACTTGGAGAAACAATAAAGTATTAGATCAACATTTGTGCATAAATAAAATTTAGGGGCATTTATATGCTCTTAGATGAATAGTTCATAAATCTTTGTATTGGTTCTTACCATAAAAAGTCAGCTTCAATGACCATTCACAGCCTCAATCCTTACAGACAAGCTGTGCTGCTAACCTGAAGTATAAAATGCTTAGTCATTCAAAGATTAGACAGCATTCCAACAAACCAACAAATTTTAACGTAATCAATTCAGATCCTTATTATTACTTATATAATGGTACTGATAAAAGAAAAGAGTAGACTTCTGACCAAACTATCATAAACCTTCAAGCCTAGAGGACATGCTTTTTACAAATATTTTTGATAATACATTTGTAATTTTTTTCTTCAAGACAGGAATAGCATACTGGTACCCACCTACATATTAGCTGTATTAGACCATCAAGTCTTATTCCCACACCATGAAAACATATGTTGCAGAAAGAACCTGAAAAGAAATTAAAATTGACACATTATATATTATTGACAAATTCATTTCTCTGTCAACCTAAAATTTGCTATCAACACCAGTTTGTTAATATGAGATGAAAAAACAAAAAAATAAGTCAGATTTATGATTTGAATTTCAACTAAACAAAAATCTCCATATTTTACAGAGTTGTCTCCCATTGAAAATTAAAAAAAATCTTGCTGTTAATTATACTAGTCTCCCTTGAAGTTTTATTCCTTTCTCGAGATTTACTATTGCTATTTTAATAGAACATCTTGTTTTTGTAACCTGGTATCTTAGAATATTTGCATGCAGAAAATGAGAAGTATGCTGTTTGTGGTCTTTTAAAACATGCACTTTTTATCAAACGTTCTAGAGAATGTAAACAAATTGTGTGGCTTTAATAAACTTGCCATATTATTTTCTTAGTATAGCCTCAGACTTTGTTGAAGATTTATTTAACCATCTTCCATGGAGCTGCTCTCCTGGCTCCCAAGGTGGCTGTCCTCATTTTATTATCAATCTATTTTGTGTCCATTTGTTTTAGACATAAAGTTATACATATAAAAAATATCAGATGCACTTTCAACTAATAACCTTTTTGAAAAATTTCACCAAATCATTTTTAGTGACCCATGATTTCTCCCACCCAACATATCTATTATCTAGAGCTCTGCTTACTTTTTTTCAATAACAGAGCTCTAAATATTTATAATATTTGATATTAGGTAGTATACATCTGATATTAAAAAAAAAACTATCACTGAGGGAATATCAAGTATGTGGAGTTTAACAGGGGTATAATAAATTACCTCCCTTTGACCTAAATTTCACCCTGTTAGGACTCCACATCCTTGCTATATTTAACAAAAGTACAAAAAATAGTATAATCAAAATTAAAAAATAATTCAATAACAAAAATCCAACACATTTCACCAAGATGTTCTTCAACTATTGTAAAATATTCTTTAAAATTTATTATGCTTGGTTACAAATTCAGCTAAAAATAACAAAAAAATTAGAAAAAATATAAATCTAACAATACATTTCAATAAAATAACAAGGTTTTTTTTCATTCTTTTTTTTAGATACTCCATTCTTAGCCTATTGGAAGTGTTTTAACTAGATAAGGACAAATATTGATATTTCTAAAGTAGGTCTTCAAGTAAAATAAGTCCGTTTCACGTCATTTTCAAAGTGCGAAGTACTTCATACCAAAAACCAGTTCCTTATCCATAAGAATGACAAAAATATGTGAAGACACTAATGGACATGAGTAGAGCTACCAAAATATTGCCATGGGGCTTTAATGGAAAAAAAAATAATGAAATTTTGAATTTCAAATACAAGTTAACCTATAACTTCCAATCTTGTTGAAAATGGAGAATCTTTGCACAATTCTTTTTTCTTTTTTTTTTTTTCTATGTAAAAAAATATTAACATTTTCTCAAACATACACAAAAATTGTCTGAATTACATTCTTTATTGGTACAGTTATACGTCACAATTATTTGATGCAGCCACAGAAAAAGTTACCTGAAACAGAAATAGAAATTCTTAAACATATTTGTCAAAACTATATCAAAATATAACCAATATTTAATGCAAAAGAAATAATAAAAAGGCATTACAATAATGATGCATATAACATTTCTTTTATTTGTTTCAAAGTAATTTGTTGCCATAAATTTTAAACTACTAGTCTTTATTAGGAAAATAAATGGGGAATGTGTCCATGGGACACAGGTGATGCACCAGCTTGCATATAATATTATAAAGGGACATAACTCAAGAACGGTAAAAAAGACGCTACCAAAATTCGTACTACATCTGAGCTTTGTGGTAATAAGCATTGTGTATAAGTTTCATAACATTTGGTTGAGGCAAACTTAAGTTAGAGAACAGAAACTAAAAATTCAGCAATTTTTCCATTTTAAAAGGGGCATAACTCTAGAACGGTAAAAGTGACACCACCATAATTCATACTTCATCTGTGTTTTGTGGTAATAAGCATAGTGTATAAGTGTCATAACATTAGGTTGAGGCAAACTAAAGTTAGAGAAGGGAAACCAATTTCGGGACTTACGGATGTACTGATGTACTATGGTAAACTTAATGCCGCCTGCGCTACGTCAAGGGCATAAAAAGGATGAAAAACAAGTCGTTGGTTGATGTCCCATATATTTGTTTTTTGTTTATTGTTTTATCATATATCTGTTCGTTTTCTCATTTGAATTGTTTCACAATTTGTCATGTTGGGGCCTTTTATATCTTATTATACAGTATAGATTTTGCTCATTTTTGAAAGCTGCCTACATCCATGTCATTTGGTCTCTGGTTGATAAATAAAATTGAGAGTGGAAATGGGGAATATGTCAAAGAGACAACAACCCGACCAAAGAGCAGACAACAGCCGAAGTCCACCAATGGGTCTTCAATGCAGCAAGAAAATCCCGCACCCGGAGGTGGTCCTCAGCTGGCCCCTAAATAAAATTGTGTGCTAGTTAAGTGAAAATGGACGTCACACTAAACTCCAAAACATAAATCAACTAAAATTTAAAAACATACTAGACTAACAAAGGCCAGAGGCTCCTGACTTGGGACAGGCGCAAAAATGTGGCGGGGTTAAACATGTTTTGTGAGATCTCAACCCTCCCCCTATACCTCTAGCCAATGTAGAATAAAGAAACACATAGCAATACACTAGGTAAAACTCAGTTTAAAAGAAGTCCGAGTCAAATGTCTCTTTGGCAATCATACCATATCTCTTTATTTTTATATATAGGGACTATTTAAGATAACAAAAAACAGATTTTTCCTAAATTAAAGTTTTCCAATTCTTTATTTAGCTCCTTCCAGATCATATATACAATTATAACTTAAGAAAAACATTAAAATGTAAGGTGTGGTTCTTACCATAAAAGTCAGCTCCAATGACCATTCCCAGCCTCAATCCTTAAGGACAAGCTGTGATGCTAACCTGAAATAAAAAATTCCAAGTTATTCAAAATTGTTTAAAAGGATCACTGTTGTCATACTGTGTTGGTATACTGTATCTTTATTATATAGAAATGGGTTATATATACTGTATATGTAGTACATGTAAAGAACATATCAATAAGACAGCAATCCAACAACCTTCTATATAATCAATTCAGATCCTTAAATCTACTCATAAAACTGATAAAAGAAAAGAGTAGATTTCTTACCAAACTCGTATAAACCATCAAGGTTATAGCACATAATATTTTTTATATCAATTTGTTACTTTCTTAACATAGAATAACATACTGGTACCTACCTACATATTAGCTGTTTTAGACCACCAAGTCTTATTCCCAAACCATTGAAACATGTGACAGAAAGAACCTAAATAGAAATAAAAATTGACACATTATATAACAATTTTACAAATCCATTTTTCTGTCAACCTAAAATTAACTAAATATTGTTCTGATTTCTTACATGTACACAATAATATAACATTTGAATTTCAACTACACAAAAATCAAGTGCATATTTAACAAGGAGTTGTCTCCCAATGGTTAAGAAAATCTTGCTGTTAATTGTAATAGTCTCCCCTTGAAGTTAATTTACTATTGCTATGATAATAGAAACCCTTGTTCATGTACTTGGTATTTTGAAATAATAAAATTGTAAATAAATTAGTCAAAGGTGTTTTTCATGCAGAAAATAAGAATGCTTTTTGTCTAAATATCCTCTTTTTATCAAATATATCTAGAGAATGTATAGAAATTGTTTGGCTCAAATAAACTTGCCTCATTATTTTCTAATTAGAGCCTCAGACTTGTTTGAAGATTTATTTAACCATCTTCCATGGAGCTTCTCTGCTGGCTGCCAAGGTGGCTGTACTCATCTTCTTGTCAATCTATTTTTGTCCATTTGTTTTTCAAAAATAAAATTATGTATATACAAAATATCAGATGCACTTTCAACTAAGAACCTTTTTGAAAAATTTCACCAAATCATTTTTAGTTACCCATGATTTCTCCCACCCTACATATCTATTATCTAGAGCTCTGCTTACAATTATTTTTTCAATTACAGAGCTCTAAATAATAGTCAATATTAGCTAGTATACATCTGATATTTAAAAAAAAAGTTATACAAACATAAATATCCAAGTAAAATAAAAGCTAGCACTGAGGGAGGTTAACAGGGGTATAATAAATTACCTCCCTTTGACATAACTTTCACCCTGTTAAGACTCCACATCCTTGCTACATTGAACAAAAATACCAAAAAAAGATCAATAAACATTAAAAAATAATTTAATAACAAAAATCCAACACATTTCAATAATATAATAAGTACATTTTGTACTAGAATCTCACCTCTGTGGCAGAGTGGTCCAAGTAGTTCAACTACTGTATCACTAGCCTGTATCTATAAATTCATGAAACTCAAAAAAATACATTGCAATAAATAACATTCTTTTTTGTTTTCTTTTGTTTTCAATTTTTTTCTTTTTCTTTTTTTCTCTTTTTCTTTTTAGAATCTCCATTCTTAACCTTTTGAAAGTGTTTTGACTAGATATGAACCATTATTAATATACTGGTATCTAAAGTAAATCTTACAGTAAAATGGGTCAGTTTCACTACATTTTCAAAGTACAAAATTTCAAATACAATTTAACCTACAACTTTCAATCCTGTTAAAAATGGAGGACCTTTACAATATTTTTTTTTTTTTTTTTTTTTTTTTGGCGAAAAATTATAAACATTTTCTCAAACATACACAAAAATTGTCTGTTTTACATTTTTTTTTTAATAGTTATACCACACAATTATTTTATGCAGCCACAGTGAAAGTTACCTGAAAAAGAAATATACATTCGTAAACATATCTGTCAAAACTATATGAAAATTGAAACAATATTTAATGCAAAAGAATAATTAACTGGACATTACAATTATGATGCATATAATATTTCTTTTACTTTTTTTTTAAAGATATTTGTTGACCTGAATTTTAAACTACCATTCCTTATCAGGAAAAAAAGATGAAAAACAAGTTGCTGGTTAATGTCTGACTTATTTTTTTTTTTTTCCCTTCTTTGTTTTATCATAAATCAGGCTGTTGCTTTTGACGTTTGAATTGTTTCACATTTAGTAATGTTTGTGACTTTTATAGCTAACTGTACAGTATAGGTTTTGCTCATTGTTGAATACTACACAGTGACCTTTAGCTGCTTACATCCATATCATTTGGTCTCTGGTTGGTAGTTGTCTCATTGCATTCACACCACATCTCTTTATTTTTATATATGGAGATAACAAAAACTAGAAATAAGATTTCCTACATTAAAATTTTTGACTTCCCTTATTTATCGTAATACCTGCTTCCAGATTATATATTCAATTATAACTAAAAGAAAACATTAAAATTCAAGATCTACATCTGTGCATAATAAAAATCTTGAGTATTTACATTTTCTTGGATGAATAGGTCATAAGTCTACGTATTGGTTCTTACCATAAAAGTCAGCTCCAATGACCATTCCCAGCCTCAATCCTAAGACAAGCTGTGATGCTAACCTGAAATATAAAATGCTTAGTCATTCAAAATTGTTTAAAAGGATCAATGTTGGTATACTGTATGAATATTGAATAGAAATAGTCTATAAATGTGTAATAGATATTGAAAACATATGGATAAGACAGCAATCCATCAACACAACCAACTTTTACATAATCAATTTGAATCTTTAAATCTACTCATATAATATTACTGGTGAACCAAAAGAGATTTCTGACCAAATGCGTATAAACTTTCAAGCCTAGAAGAGCACCATATCTTTTATAATACATTGGTTATTTTTTAACATGGAATAACATACTGGTACCTACCTACATATTAGCTGTTTTAGACCACCAAGTCTTATTCCCACACCATGAAAACATGTCACAGAAAGAACCCTGAAAAGAAATAAAAATTGACACATATAATTTTTACAAATCCATTTTTCTGTCAACCTAAAATTAACTAAATATTGTTCTGATTTCTTACATGTACAGAATAATATAACACCAACACCATTTTATAAAATTAGTATAAAAGATGGAAAAACAGTCAATTTAATGATTTGAATTTCAACTACACAAAAATCAAGTGCATATTTAACAATGAGTTGTCTCCCATTGGTTAAGAAAATCTTGCTGTTAATTGTAATAGTCTCCCCTTGAAGTTAATTTACTATTGCTATTTTAATAGAAGCTCTTGTACATGTACTTTGGTATTTTGAAATAATAAAATTGTAAATAAATAAGTCAATGGTGTTTTTCATGCAAAAAATAAGAATGCTTTTTGTCTAAATATCCTCTTTTTATCAAATATATCTAGAGAATGTATAGAAATTGTTTGGCTCAAATAAACTTGCCTTATTATTTTCTAATTAGAGCCTCAGACTTGGTTGAAGATTTATTTAACCATCTTCCATGGAGCTACTCTGCTGGCTGCCAAGGTGGCTGTCCTCATCTTCTTGTCAATCTATTTTTGTCCATTTGTTTTTTCGAAATAAAATTATGTATATAAAAAATATCAGATGCACTTTCAACTAAGATCCTTCTTGAAAATATCACCAAATCATTTTTAGTTACCCATGATTTCTCCCACCCTACATATCTATTATCTAGAGCTCTGCTTACATTTTTTTTTTTAATTACAGAGCTCTAAATAATAGTCAATATTAGCTAGTATACATCTGATATTTAAAAAAAAAAAGTTATACAAACGTAAATATCCAAGTTAAATAAAAACTAGCACTGAGGGAGGTTAACAGGGGTATAATAAATTACCTCCCTTTGACATAACTTTCACCCTGTTAAGACTCCACATCCTTGCTACAATGAACAAAAATACCAAAAAAAGAATAATCAACATTAAAAAATAATTTAATAACAAAAATCCAACACATTTCAATAATATAATAAGTACATTTTGTACATGTACTAAAATCTAACCTCTGTGGCAGAGTGGTCCAAGTAGTTCAACTACTGTATCACTAGCCTGTATCTCTAAATTCGGGAAACTCAAAAAAATACATTGCAATAAATAACATTCTTTTTTGTTTTCTTTTGTTTTCATTTTTTTTCTTTTTTCTTTTTAGAATCTCCATTCTTAACCTACTGAAAGTGTTTTGACTAGATATGAACCATTATTAATATACTGGTATCTAAAGTAGATCTTACAGTAAAATGGGTCAATTTCACTACATTTTCAAAGTACAAAATTTCAAATACAATTTAACCTACAACTCCCAATCCTGTTAAAAATGGAGAACCTTTACAATATTTTTTTTTTTTTTTTTTTTTTTCTTTTGGCAAAAAATTATAAACATTTTCTCAAACATACACAAAAATTGTCTGAATTACATTTTTTTTGTAGTTATACCACACAAGCATTTTATGCAGCCACAGTAAAAGTTACCTGAAAAAGAAATATACATTCTTAAACATATCTGTCAAAACTATATGAAAATTGAAACAATATTTAATGCAAAAGAATAATTAACTGGACATTACAATTATGACACATATAATATTTCTTTTACTTTTTTTTAAAGATATTTGTTGACCTGAATTTTAAACTACCATTCTTTATCAGGAAAGAAGGATGAAAAAGAAGTTGTTGGTTAATGGCCGACTTATTTTTTTTTCCTTCATTGTTTTATCATAAATCAGGCTGTTGCTTTTGATATTTGAATTGTTTCACATTTTGTAATGTTTGTGACTTTTATAGCTAACTGTACAGTATAGGTTTTTCTCATTGTTGAATACCACACAGTGACCTTTAGCTGGTTACATCCATATCATTTGGTCTCTGGTTGGTAGTTGTCTCATTGCAATCACACCACATCTCTTTATTTTTATATATGGAGATAACATAAAATGTTAACACAGAGATATGTCTTGCCTATTTGTTATTTTGATAATGCAAATGTTGAAATTAAAATAGCAATACTTTAACATGTAAGTTATGCAAATATTCAAAGACAATGAACCATGACTGAAGGTACAGGGCTAAACAATCTCCATGGAAATGAGATGTGCCAATGCTAATACAACTGCAAACCAAATACCATTGACTTTTCATAAGTCATTCCCTTTAAACAAAACCTAAACACAAACATTAACTTGTAAACTATGTAAAAGTTTCAAAGTCAATGAACCATAATTAGGGGGTGGGGTTATATAATCTCCATGGAAATGAAACTTGCAAATGCCAATACATTTGCAAACCGAATATCATTGACTTAACATTAGCAGTTCATCTTGAACTGACCTAATAACAAACCAATACATGTAAACTAAGCAAAAGTTTCAAAGTCAATAGACCATGACTGAGGGGTAAGGACCAAATATTCTCCATGGAAATGAGATGTGCTAATGCTTATAAAACTGCATACCAATTATCACTGACCTACCACTAACAGTTACCCTTAAACTGACCTAATCACAAACTAATACATGTAAACTAAGCAAAGCTTCAAAGTCAATAGACCTTGACTGAGGGGGCCGGGCTAAATAATTTCCATGGTAATGAGATGTGCCAATGTTAATACAACTGCATACCAAATATCATTGAACTACCACTTGTGGTTCCCCATAAACTGACCTAATCACAAACTAATACATGTAAACTAAGCAAAGTTTCAAAGTCAATAGACCTTGACTGAGGGGGCGGGGCCAAATAATCTCCATGGTAATGAGATGTGCCAATAATAATACAACTGCATACCAAATATCATTGACCTACCAATAGTAGGTCACCATGAACTAGACCTAATCACAAACTAATACATTGTTGATGCCGCCACCGCCGCCGGAAACAGCATACCTATGTCTCGCTTTTTGACTCCTTCAAGGCTAGACAAAAAAACAGAAATAAGATTTCCTAAATTAAAAGTTTTGACTTCCCTTATTTATCTAAATACCTCCTTCAAGATTATATATTCAATTATAACTAAATAAAACATTTAAATTCAAGATCTACATTTGTGCATAATAAAAATCTTGAGTATTTACATTCTCTTGGATGAATAGGTCATAAGTCTACATATTGGTTCTTACCATAAATTTCAGCTCCAATGACCATTCCCAGCCTCAATCCTAAGACAAGCTGTGATGCTAACCTAAAATATAAAATGCTTAGTCATTCAAAATTGTTTAAAAGGATCAATGTTGGTATACTGTATGAATATTGAATAGAAATAGTCTATAAATGTGTAATAGATATTGAAAACATATGGATAAGACAGCAATCCATCAACACAACCAACTTTTACATAATCAATTTATATCTTTAAATCTACTCATATAATATTACTGGTGAACCAAAAGAGATGATTTCGGACCAAATGCGTATAAACTTTCAAGCCTAGAAGAGCACAATATCTTTTATAATACATTGGTTATTTTTTAACATGGAATAACATACTGGTACCTACCTACATATTAGCTGTATTAGACCACCAAGCCTTATTCCCACACCATGGAAACATGTCACAGAAAGAACCCTAAAAAGAAATAAAAATTTGACACATTATATAATTTTACAAATCCATTTTTCTGTCAACATAAAATTAACTAAATATTGTTCTGATTTCTTACATGTACACAATAATATAACATCAACACCATTTTATAAAATTAATATAAAAGATGGAAAAACGGTCAATTTAATGATTTGAATTTCAACTACACAAAAATCGAGTGCATATTTAACAATGAATTGTCTCCCATTGGTTAAGAAAATCTTGCTGTTAATTGTAATAGTCTCCCCTTGAAGTTAATTTACTATTGCTATTTTAATAGAAACCCTTGTTCATGTACTTGGTATTTTGAAATAATAAAATTGTAAATGAATTAGTCAATGGTGTTTTTTCATGCAGAAAATAAGAATGCTTTTTGTCTAAATATCCTCTTTTTATCAAATATATCTAGAGAATGTATAGAAATTGTTTGGCTCAAATAAACTTGCCTCATTATTTTCTAATTAGAGCCTCAGACTTGTTTGAAGATTTATTTAACCATCTTCCATGGAGCTACTCTGCTGGCTGCAAAGGTGGGTGTACTCATCTTCTTGTCAATCTATTTTTGTCCATTTGTTTTTCGAAATAAAAGTATGTATATAAAAAATATCAGATGCACTTTCAACTAAGAACCTTTTTGAAAAATAACACCAAATCATTTTTAGTTACCCATGATTTCTCCCACCCTACATATCTATTATATAGAGCTCTGCTTACAATTTTTTTTTTAATTACAGAGCTCTAAATAATAGTCAATATTAGCTAGTATACATCTGATATTTAAAAAAAAAGTTATACAAACATAAATATCCAAGTAAAATAAAAGCTAGCACTGAGGGAGGTTAACAGGGGTATAATAAATTACCTCCCTTTGACATAACTTTCACCCTGTTAAGACTCCACATCCTTGCTACATTGAACAAAATTACCAAAAAAAGATTAATAAACATTAAAAAATAATTCAATAACAAAAATCCAACACATTTCAATAATATAATAAGTACATTTTTGTACTAAAATCTCACCTCTGTGGCAGAGTGGTCCAAGTAGTTCAACTACTGTATCACTAGCCTGTATCTATAAATTCGTGAAAATCAAAAAAATACATTGCAATAAATAACATTTTTTGTTTTCATTTTTTTCTTTTTCTTTTTTTCTCTTTTTCTTTTTAGAATCTCCATTCTTAACCTACTGAAAGTGTTTTGACTAGATATGAACCATTATTAATATACTGGTATCTAAAGTAGATCTTACAGTAAAATGGGTCAGTTTCACTACATTTTTCAAAGTACAAAATTTCAAATACAATTTAATCTACAACTCCCAATCCTGTTAAAAATGGAGAACCTTTACATATTTTTTTTTTTTTTTTTTTTTTTGGCAAAAAAATATACACATTTTCTTAAACATACACAAAAATTGTCTGAATTACATTTTTTTTTTATAGTTATACCACACAATCATTTTATGCAGCCACAGTAAAAGTTACCTGAAAAAGAAATATACATTCGTAAACATATCTGTCAAAACTATATGAAAATTGAAACAATATTTAAAGCAAAAGAATAATTAACTGGACATTACAATTATGATGCATATAATATTTCTTTTACTTTTCTTTTTAAAGATATTTTGTTGACCTGAATTTTAAACTACCATTCTTTATCAGGAAAAAAAGATAAAAAACAAGTTGTTGGTTAATGTCTGACATATTTTTTTTTTCCTTCATTGTTTTATCATAAATCAGGCTGTTGCTTTTGACGTTTCAATTGTTTCACATTTTGTTATGTTTGTGACTTTTATAGCCAACTGTACAGTATAGGTTTTGCTCATTGTTGAATACCATACAGTGACCTTTAGCTGCTTACATCCATATCATTTGGTCTCTGGTTAGTAGTTGACTCATTGAAATCCCACCACATCTCTTTATTTTTATATATGGAGATAACAAAAACCAGAAATAAGATTTCCTAAATTATAAGTTTTGACTTCCCTTATTTATCTAAATACCTCCTTCCAGATTATATATTCAATTATAACTAAATAAAACATTTTAATTCAAGATCTACATTTGTGCATAATAAAAATCTTGAGCATTTACATTTTCTTGGATGAATAGCTCATAAGTCTACGTATTGGTTCTTACCATAAATTTCAGCTCCAATGACCATTCCCAGCCTCAATCCTAAGACAAGCTGTGATGCTAACCTGAAATATAAAATGCTTAGTCATTCAAAATTGTTTAAAAGGATCAATGTTGGTATACTGTATGAATATTGAATAAAAAATAGTCTATAAATGTGTAATAGATATTGAAAACATATGGATAAGACAGCAATCCATCAACACAACCAACTTTTACATAATCAATTTGAATCTTTAAATCTACTCATATAATATTACTGGTGAACCAAAAGAGAAGATTTCTGACCAAACTTGTATAAACTTTCAAGTCTAGAAGAGCACGATATCTTTTATAATACATTGGTTATTTTTTTAACATGGAATAACATACTGGTGCCTACCTACATATTAGCTGTTTTAGACCACCAAGTCTTATTCCCACACCATGAAAACATGTCACAGAAAGAACCTAAAAAGTAATAAAAATTGGTTTTAAAAGTGTACGATTTGAATTTCAACAGCACAAAAATCATTTGCATATTTAACATAAAGTTACCATTGAATAATAAAATTTTGCTGTTAATTGTACTTGTCTCCCTTGAAGTTAAATTTACTATTGCTGGTATCTTAAAATAATAAACTGGTCAGTTAATTAGTCGATGGTGTTTTGAATGCAGAAAATGAGGGTGCTACTCGACTTAATGTGCTCTTTTTTATCAATTTTTCTGAGAATGTATAGAAATTGCTTGGCCTTAATAATCTTGCCTTTTTATTTTCTTGTTAAAGCCTCAGACTTGGTTGGAAGATTTAATCAACCATCTTCCTTGGAGCTGCTCTCCAGGCTGCTGTTATATGATTTTTATCATAGTTTTTCATGCTAATCAGTTCACTGAATCCATGTTATCCAATTAATAAAATGTCCTTTGTATCCATAGTTTTCAATGAAATATACATTTGTCACTAGAATGTTCCAAGGCATCTCAATATTTTTGTTTTCCAATCATTCTCGATGTTAAATACAAACAATTTATTAAATTCAGTCATAAAATTTTGTAAACTACCAGATGTGCTTTTAAACAGGTAACCTGTACTTTAAAAATTTACAGAATGTTTTCAGTACCCCCACAATTTCTTCCACCCATTAAAAGTTTTATTTAGATTTATGTTTACATTTTTTTTAGAGCTCTAAATAGCTTATATATCAGTTAAAAGACATTTGATATGTAAATACTTATAAAATGTAATAAAAAAAGACGGTATAGCCTAACATGAGGCCCCTCATGGGGGTGTCCAAGTGATCACATAATCACATTTTTTTGCCAATATAATGACATAATCATGAATTATTTTTTTTAAACAAGATAATCAAATAATCAAAAATACAGTCCTAGATAATCAAATAATCAAATAATCATGAAATATTTGGTCTGGTAATCAAATAATCACTATAAAAACAGCCAAGTAATCACATAATCAAAAACCCCATGAGGAGGCTCTAACATCTATTAATCACCAACATTTTTTAATATTTTGAAGCATAGTTTAAAAGAATACCTCTTCCTTTAAGGTTTACTTCTCGTGTACATATGTGTGAATGTGTGCTCAATTCTCATGGTAAAGTAGCCATGTATATTCCAAAAATTGATAAAGCCTCAAATGGCTGAGTTGTGTGCAGTTCTTATAAAATGGAGAATGGTCTATACTGAAATTTAAAATTATTGAAATGAAAAGTGTAAAAACAGGGGATGACAATCAACCTCAATAGATTTGCAAACTCTCTGAAGTTCCAAAGATATGGGTAAAAAAACTACCATTTTTTTTTTTAATTTTTAGATGAAAAATTACTAAATTTCCAAGTCGGGGAAAAATAGGAAAAAAATAACCAAACAAATCCATAGTGCCGAGTGTACAACTTAAATATTTGTGTGATCATTGTGTGAAGTTTCAAAGACAAAGATTGAAAACTGCAGGAGTTAATTACACACTATTGGTACTGTCTTAGTAAATTTTGATAAAAAAATTATTAATATAAAAATAAGGAGATGTGGTATGATTGCTTGGCAATGAGACAACTATTCACCAAAGTTCACAAATTTTAGAATTTTTAGGGTGTGGTATGATTGCTTGGCAATGAGACAACTATTCACCAAAGTTCACAAATTTTAGAATTTTTAGAAAAATGGGGAAAAATTCCTCAAGCAAATCCATAATAATAATAATACCATAATAGCAGATTCGCAACTTTTGTGCGATCTTTCTGTTAAGTTTCGGTGGTACATTTTGAAGAAACACTGACATAAAAATATACAAATATGCTGCAAAATGGTTCTATGAAGTAAGAAATCTATGAATTTAAAAATCTAGTAAGAAAAATTGCAAACTGTAAGAAATGATAAAAATACTGATTCTTTATATAATAAAAATAATTTTCAAAATTCAAATTGCACGTGATACTTTTAATAAATTTTGTTTTATAAACTATAATACTTGAAAAATATAATACAATGTACCAAAATTTACAATTCAAAAAGTGATGATTTTGTTCCCAAATTATGTTTGATAGCATATTGATGGTGATATCAAAATTCATCTTTCACAAGACTTGTTCCAATGACTTCTGTTGGAAAAGAAGGAAAATCACTGATATCTTGACATTGATAGAGACTGACACGATGTAACTCTAGGGAACCACTGGTTCCTTTAAAGGATAACAGTCAAAACAGAACCAGCTGCAGTCAATATATATACTTACAAGACAAAGCTCATTCTTGCTATTGGGAAAAAAAAAGAATATTCCCAGTTAAATCTGAAATAAACTTCATTAAGTGAAATCCCCGAAGTCTGGAACAGGGTCCAATTTAAATCTTAAAACTGCTTGATTAATAGAACTGATTGCATGCAATTCTTAAAAAAATGTTGGGAATCTTTAAAAGGATCTCAATTATAATGGAAGCAGTTCCATTAATATGCATAACTATGGACTATGGGAAATTCTTTGAAAAAAATTGAAAACAACACGTTTAATAATTTCATGCGTCCGAAGTGCTTTTCTGGATTTACCTTCATCAGGAACGCTCAAAGCCAAACATTTGAAATCCTTGGGATGTATAAGTACCGAAACAGTTGAAGAGCTATATGACAAAAATACTTAAAACAAATAGCCAAATCCATCTAAGGTCAACTTTGCCTGAGGGAGTTGAAACCTTAGTTTCTTTATAATTTCAAAATTTATAAACAGGCAATTTTAGAAAACTAATGAGGCAAATGTGGGATCCCTGCTAAGAGTAAATCTTGCAGATTCCTCTTGGACTGGCCATGAGTTTCAAAATGGATTAAACTAAAAATAACTGCAGTTAAGTATTAAAAATTATGTTTTACTCATTTTTCTATATAGTATTTCATGATGGCAAGTGCTTTACCTATATTATAATTACCAAATACCCATCATTGCAAAATATTTTGCAATGTTATTTGAAAAAGATAAAATAGTTTGATTCTGTTGCAATTCATAAAATAGGATACAGTTAAGATCAATCTAATACCTATTTCAATAAAAGATCTGAATTGTATAAAATGAACTTCATATTTCAACAAACTAATGACAATTCAAATAGTAAATGCACATTCATTTGAAAATTTTTGTGTGGTACAATCATGTACACAAGATGAAAAGATATAAATGGACCAGTATTCAGCTTCTTTTTTTGTGATCTTGAAATGATCTTGCTGACTCTCATTACTTTTGATTACATTGTTTCAAGAATTTTATTAGATAGACAAAAAAAAATATATATGGTTTGATATCATTTAATTTATTGATCACAGAATGGCTTGGGGAGTTAAAAAGAGAAATATTTTATTAAACAGGAAAATTTTAAAAAGAAAAGCTTAAATTTTACAAAACTTTTCTACAAATCATGATGAGCAATTTTTAAATGGATATTAACAAATAAAATTAATACATTAATACAAATTGTCAATTAGGCTTTGATAATAATATGCAAAATAGTTACTTATGATTTTAGTCAAATCTGCCGCCAAACGGGCACAGAAGACAAAGAAAATTGCCTGTTTCCAAAACTAATTTTTAGAATCTTGAAATCACAATTTGAAGCAGAGTTATCACCATAGAACATTTCTAGCTTTATGATGGAACTCGATTATGAGCATGTTGTAAGCAAAAATAGAATACTGTGGATTCATTATTATTCACGTGTTACTCATTTTTTGTGGATTCAGGTAAACAATAAATTTAAAGGGGCACCAGCTACGAGATATATAAAAAATCTTATATATATATATATATGATTTTTTTTTGTTCAATCATTAATGAAAGTGAAATAGTGAAATAATTATTCGCTTTTAGCCGCCAGTATGGTTCAATTTTGTCAAAATAAGCTAAGAAACATTGATGATGAATTATTCACTTGCAAGTGAATAATTCGACCTCATTGAATCCGTATTCATGTGAACTTCAATTTAACCCCTCAGCTAGAGATGGATAACATGTGAATTGTATGTGTAAAGTTATTTAAAGGAAAAGAATGTCAACATTGAAAGTGAAACAAAGGTAAATCATTTGATTGACTGATCTGATCCACAAAAAATCATTCTTATACAGATAAAAGCGATGATAAACATATATTTTTAATCTATAATATGAAATTAAACAGACCTAGAAAAATCCAATAGCATGAGTTTGCTTAATCTATTTATATCTTTATTTATGTTTACATGGCTTATATGGTCATCGGATGACTTTTGAGGTCAACTCGATAGTTAATTAGATGGCATCTAGACTAAAATACACACGAAACGAAGCTACGTGTTATCATGCCCATGTCCTGTTAACTGTTTATTTTAGACTTTTAATAGTTTGGATAAATGTTTTACATTGTTATAAATCAAATATGAGAATTTGAGTCAAATCGGTGAACATGAAGTTGACAGCTAGTGCCCCTTTAAGTCTTTGACAAAAAAAAAATTGTTAAGCTTGTATGGAGAATTTGTCAAAACCATAGTTAATTAAAGTAATCAATCAATGTCTGATTGAAAGCCTAGTGTCCCGAGGTAAGAGTTGAAAATTAACCCACTGTTGAGATTTTTGAAGCAAATAGAGATAACTACTGTATCAGGATTGATAACTCGAAATAACTCTTGGAGATGATGATAGTTTCAAATAACTCAGAATGAAGTTTGTTTAGGTATTGGAAGTTATTAAAATTATTTTAATTTTTTTTTTTAGTCAAAACATTAAGTGATGATTTATTACTGTTCACCAAAAATTAAATACTTTTACAAGCTTTCAGTCATGAAAGAAGTTGGTTCCTCTTTAAAAAATAATGAATAAACATCAAAATACTTTTTGTTTGACAGAAACTTCGTCATGTAATAAAAATGTACTTTTACTTCATGATTACCTTGATACCAATCAGTGCTTTGAAGAAGTAGATACCCAAAAACAATTTTGAAAAAGCTGAAGTAAATTCAACTTTTTGGATCATTTTTCACTACACCTCAATACAACTTGATGTACAAAAATATGTTTTCTAATTTTCCATTTCCAATGCATCATAAT